ATAGGTAGTAAAAAGTTTACAACGGATGAAAGCTGACAAAATTTGACTTGTCGAATTTTTGCATTCTCAAAGTAAAATATGAATCCACAACTTTATGAACTGATAGTAATAAAATAACATAGAATAAAATCATTTATAAAATAATAACATATAATTGGACAAACCGTTGAGCTGGCAGCCTCCAACGTAACATTCTCCGGTGCTTTGCTAGGTACATCTGAGTACGTTCTCACTGTGATCTCTTCAGAAGCAGTTCCTGGACCGTTCTCATTGTGTGCGACCAACCATATGTTGTACTCCTGGAACTTCTTCAAGTTCTCCAATGTGTAACTCAGCTCCGTAGTATTCCTGATGAACTCTTCCGAATCATCAGCCTACAACAATCACAACAATCAATAATTGTTAATGTTTAGACTGGTTCTAGGGGTAGCTTTAAGATTTTGCCAACTTAAAAATTACACAGGCATTGTTTATTGAAAAGGAGCTTGACTTAGGGAAGGAATATATAACTATCTTATCTAAGAGTTTCAGGTTCTTTAAAGCGCACAAAGAAGTACACAACACAATAAACTTGATATTTCGGACCCTAATAGGGCTTCTTCAGAAGAAAGAAGTAGAATAGGTTTTTTTTCCAAGCCAATAAGTTCATTATGATTTATTTGTGCTTTCAAAAACCTGGAACCTTTATTTTAAGTAAACTAGTTGTGTATCTATTCCTTCTTTAACATAAAACAAGCTTTATATGATTTAAAAGGTGATTTAAAAAATTGTTTGCTTAAGGTTCCTGTTAGCCTTGAGCGGCTGATGATTAGATTTTATTTTCCCTGACAAAGATGAGCAACCAATAAGGTGGTTCGGATTTGTTATCGGATCTATAAAGAATTTGCACAGACCTACTAATATTTACACGTCCGTTAGCAACTCACGTGGCAAATTTTAGACCTCAATAGCTTCAATAGTTATAAAATAATGGTAAGTGGTAGTCATAGTTATCTATAGTTCAACGTTGTTGTACACTGCCATTTCCATTTACACCTAGTGCTACTGGCAAACGTTGATAGTGTCACTTGAGTCTGGTTACAGGATGTCTGGAGCGCAGTCAGCCCCAAAAGACGTGCATTTTTTACAAGCTTAATTTATGTTTTTTAATGTTATGGTGTCATAAATATAACATGAGAAATAAACATAATGAGACAATATTATGTTTCAGTTTTATATTTGGTCTTACTCCTGTCAACCCTACACCCTTTTAGTCCCCTTTTACATAAACATGCTCATATACTTATAACATATGCTCTTTCCTTTGTATGCATTAAGAGTTGTGTTAGTCAAAGTTAACAGAAACACCTGTTAAATTTCACACTATTATTTTTTAAGCACCTGGTAAATTCAAAAATACTTAAACCCACCAAATCAAAAGTACAAACCGAAACTCAAAAGGAGACAACAAACGATTACGTAGAAAAACACTCAACCCAGACCTACCTCTATGTAATACAGACTATAGCTGAGGGGAGGTCCCGTAGCAGGGTCGTAGGCCGGAGGAGCCCAGGTGACATGTACAGAGGTGGGGGAGAGGGGATGAGCTGCTACGTGTAGCGGAGGACCAGGCACGTGCACCTCCGCCTTAGTCCTGACTGTGACTGGTAGAGAAGTCGCTCCTAGACTGTCGTTGATCAATGCCCTCACTCGCATCACGTAGCTGCGGTCAGGCTGTAAACCTTGTATGTTGACCTCCTCTAGTCTCGACCTTGACGTGTTCACCACCCTCTCTCTGTGGTCAAACGTTAAAAATGTACAAGTCTGTAAAATAATTCTCTACTATATAAAGACCGATCTATGTTATTTAGTTATGCCACTATCTGGACTATGACAATGACATATAACACAGAGTACAAGGATAAAAGGGGGATAAGAGCTAAATTAACAGCTGAGAAAAAGTCCAGGAAACATTTAAGTTACAAAGAAAAACACAAAATACATAATATTTTGACCTCTTTAGGACCTGGTCAAGTGTAGACTAAGATTTATGTACTAAATGTTAGACAAACAACTACACTTGACAGAGTCCCTCAAAAGTCTTCAAATGTGTACTGTGGCCAATCAGGACTTTAAAGGTAATCAAGCTGTTATCTCCCTTGTTTTAAAAACATAAGCACATGGGCAAGAGCCTTTTCTTGAACAAGGATAAAAGGATATCAACTGTAATGTACCAAACTTTAAAAGGGGGAAAATGTTGGGCAATTAAACAAACACTAAAAGACCCAGTTTAGAACCAAATACAGGGTGAATCAGACCACCCATGCACAACGGTTTGGCCCAACACGCGTAAAAAAAACAACATTTTATACAGAAAATCCGCCATTTAACATTTTTTTAGTGAGTTACAATTTTAAAATGTCACTTAAGGCACTTTTATTTCAATGTTGGGATCATTATAAGTACAAATATATGTCCGAAAAGTAATTTAAAAAATTAAAAACACGTTGAAAATCCAAGACATTTTACCAATTTTAAGTAGGGCGTTTTTTTTTTTATGTGAAGGAGTGCGGTTTTCGAAAAATGCCGAAGAGCGTCTTGTAAAAAATTTAATTCCTGACCATCAAAATTATTTCATATCTTTGCTAGCTCTTACCATTTTCAAGCTATATCCATAAAAAAAAATAAAATAAAAAAACAGGGTGGCTAGTGAAATCACATTGAAAAATTCCCTGACTTTTCCCTGACAATTCCATGATTTTTTTAAACTTTCCCTGATCGACAAATTCAAAATTACAATTCTAATACTACCTAACTAATTCTTCAAAAGGACTAATCTTTATCTGAAGAATATCTTATGTTTGTTTACATGAAAAACATACATAAAATCTATAGATACAGGCTAGCTTATATTCAAACTTTGCAACTTACCTTAATAAAATTAAACTGAGTTAAGATGAGACGCAGTTTATAATAAAATTTAATTTGTACAAAAACACAAAATTTATTTGTAGAGACATATTTCTTAGTTTTCACCCACACGGCACACATACTCTCGACCTTTCCTAACAATTATTAAAATTATGTTAAACATTTTACAATTTTCCCTGACTTATGACAAAATTCCATGACTTTTCCAGATATTTAATATTCCCTGACATTTCCAGGTTTTCCAGGTCACTAGCCACCCTGAAAAAGGAGGTTTAAGGGAATTTTTGGAGGTTTGTAATTTGAAAATGCAACTTTTTTGGATTTCCTGGGTGGTTTGAGACCGAGATGAGCCTCCACAAAAAATTTCAGATCCCTAGCTATTCTAGAAGTGGGTAAACACTTGTATACCTGATCAGTGAGTCAGTGAGTTACACAAGCGGCTGTATATTCCGTTTAAGTATGTGCACGGTTAGTCTGATTCACCCTGTATAGCCTTGATCCTAATAATTGGAGCTCTACAGTACATTATAGTAATCTATGGGTTTTCAGAGCCTTCGGGACCTATCTAAACATTTGGGGACTTCTCTGAGAGAACAGGAACGTATGGGAGCTGTAGACACCCTGTTTCAGATAGAGCATATATTTTACTAAGTCCCAATTTTACACTTATAACACTAGTCTCTAGTCGGGAACAGTTAAACACAATAGACTAAGCCTAGGATGTTGTCGCATTATTACTAGGGTGAAACCATTGGCTATTGAACGGATTTGAACCCAGAACCTCAGAGTTCGAAGCCTCATGCTCTACCACTAGACCGATATGCTATTATTAAAGCAATAATAGGTAAATGTAAATTTTAAAAAGCCATACCTGTAAGAACCTTCCTCTCTGTAGAAGACAGAGTAGCTAGATATTTGTCCACTGAAGTGCAGTGGCGGCTTCCATCTGAGAGTGACGAACCTGGCTCCTACGATGGCTGCCTCGACGTTCTGCGGAACTGTCTCCAGGCTCGGCAACTCTAGCTCACCTTCTAGTGCGGAAAGACCAGGGGGGATGGACGGACGTTTTGATTTTAGTAATTTAGAGATGTTTTTGGAAACTTCACTATCAGCTGAGGATATTTGTAGACAAAAACATTTAAATTTTGTATTGAGGTTATGTAAGCAAAAAATGTGATTTTTAATGTGTGGCAAGTTGAATTGAGAAGTTAATAATTTGTGAAAATGAAGTGAATAAATAAAATTGCGATGAAAATGAAAATTGTGATAAAATTGTAAAGGGGTGTAAGGAGAGGAAAGGACGAGAAATAAGGAAGGGGAAAAATAAAACAAAAAAATTAATAACTGAAGTAAATCATAAATAAATAATAAGTTGACAAAATAATGTAAGAAATTGATGATCTTGGGTTTGTAGTTAAGAACAAAACTTGTTTATTATACTACTCAAATGGTTATAAACTTTACTTTAGTCTAAAGTAAAACAAGTAATTAGCAGTTATTTTGAAGAAGGATAAAGTTTAGCTAGCTTATCTGAAAAAAATAAAATCCAGAGGCTAATTGATACAAATAAAAGACCACTATATTGAAAAGGTTTCTATTCAATCTCCTCTCCGACGTGTTCAAAGACGTCCTTTCGGTTAATATCAGTACTATGTTTTGTGATCTTTTGATTACCATTAGAACCTGGACTCCAATTTTTTTAGATAAGCTAGCTTAACTTTATCCCTCTTCAAAATAACCCCTAACCAGCCAACAAGCTTTCCTTTAAAATATAACCTATAACATTGAACTATCTTAAATTTAAATTATAACACCACCACCTGACTATCCTCATCTAATTGGTCCAACTACAACAGTCAATGCACTTTATGAAATATCATGAGTAAATAAATTTACTCATGGCCATTCAAAGAGGAGGTCCCTGCATAGAGAGATAGGCTTACACAAGATCGATTAGGCATTTTAAATCAAAGTTAAGTTAACTTAGAAGAAAATAAACACATAGTCACAATAGAAGAAAATAAACAAGGAACTAGTGTTAATCAGCTGATTATTCTACCTATGTTGCATTGTTAATTTATGCCCTAGTGACAATTATCAAAACAAACTGCAAAGTTATTCCGGATTACCATGATTTAAAATGTGAGTAGTACAGTTCAACAGTTGTTTTCATGCCAAGAGATTGTTTATAAAAACAACATGTTGGCCCGAAGTGGAAAATGCAATGAAATAGTCAAAGAATAGGTTGAAATGTCAACCAATTTATTGACAACAATTAATAGCGGTTTTCAAGGACTTTGGCAGTGAAGCTTACCTGAGTTGGTAACCACTAGATGTGCCGCTGCCTGAATGTTGCCGGCTGGGTTTGAGGCAACACACTGGAAAATGCCTGCGTCCAATGACATCAGTCCGAGAATACGTAGATTGTTCCTGCAAAAAAGAGACAACATTCAGAGCTTCAGATAAAATATCTAGTAGCGTTGTTATTGTTATTTCTAACATATTGTTACCACAACAGAAGTATTGAGTCTTTTGGCTGAGAACTCAGTAATAAATGGAGGTAAACTATTATCCATCAGAAAGATATTACAGAGCAGCATAGAAAAAGTAGTACGTACTGCCTGTAGCTTGTTTAGGTAAAAAAGATTGGGAATCTTTATTCTTATTCTTAAACAATTATTTACAATCTCATAACTTTCTGATTCTCATTTTAGACACAAAACAAAGTAAGAAAGTAAGCCTTCAATTAATTAAACTGACTGCAAAAAATAAAAATATCTTTTTTAAGCTTACCCATTTACTACTTGCAGATACTCATTTTGCTTGATGTGGTCACCATTCTTCAACCAACTGACTTTAGCTTCAGGTCTAGCATCGACCGCACACTCCAATTCCACGTCTTCTTTCTCCCGAGCTACTTTACTTGTCGGCTTCTTCAAAAAAGATGGTGGAACTGCAACAACACATTTGATGAAGCTGCATTTTCCGTGAGATACCCTTTGTATATTCTTGATGAGTTTATAGTACTTGATTATTTTGGGAAAAAAGTCTGAGTGAATTAACTAAGTCGCTTTAATATGAAAACAAAGTTTTGAGACAACTAATATTCAACTCCTACTATTGAGTTGAATAGTCTACTAATTGAGTTGAGTCTCATAATAACTACTATTGAGTTGAATAGTAGTTTTCTCCCAAGATGGATCGTTGTTACAAATCCGTAACATCAGACTCTAGTTTAGCTTATTCAACGACAGTCATCACTGGAAGACCTAAATTTGAACATGCATAAACTATGACCAGTCTGGCAGTAGTTAGTCATCACTGTTCGTACCTTGAACATGTAGAGTGGCAGTAGCGTCCGCAGAATCTTCTCTATTCTCAGCTCTACATTGGTAGTTTCCTGCGTCACTCTCTTGGATGTCTCTCATTTGTAGACTACCAGTGCCCGTCATCTTGCAGTTAGTGTCCAGGTCTCTGTAATTTCCACGATAACAATAAAAACTAAACACTAGTTGAATTAACATTCAGTGCAATGCATCAAGTATTACCTAACATTGTTATAATTAATTATAGGACAGTAACCTTAGTACATATTTTAAGCACAATATAAATGCCAGATGAGTGGAATAGATTGCATGATCCATGTAGCTTTGTTGATAAGAACAGCTGATTCATTCCCAGGATCATTTATTAAAAGCAATTGTAAAGGACAATTGAGCCCAGTTTTTAACTATTAAAGCTACTATCATCAACAATGATGTTTATTATTAAATGTTACAAGTTAAATTTAATGATAGCCCTTTTAGCGAATTTCCCTATAGGGAAGTAGCTATTACCGTAGGTCTCATGGTAAGACTTAGGCCCGGGACCGATTTACTTTTTCATTTTGATGTCCCCAGAGGCCAAAAACACCACTCGTTCAAATTTTTATATATGTATATATATATATATATATGTGTCCGTGAACACGATAACTTGAGTAATTTTTATCCGATTTTGATGAAATTTGGTTTGAAGGTGTAAGGCGGGATAAACTTGAATGAGTTCGCGATCCAGCATGATCGGACCATGGGAACAGGGTTTTATGGGGTAAAAATTTGTTTTTCTCACTTTTGACCCTCACAACACAAAATTTCCCAAATTTTCTCTAAACCTTCTTAAAGAGCTTAAAAAAACAAACAATTCAGTATATCAAAGTGTTTTTGTACGGTTATTGGTTACGGAGAAAACTAAAAAAATGGTAAATTTAAAATTCCCATGTTATTCTTATGGAGAATATTGTAAAATGTCGTAGTTTGCTTGTTTATGGATATCTTTTGATCAAACTTGGCAAATATATTCATTTTATACTAAGCAATAATTATTTTACTTAAAACACACACTTTATTAGTTTCCTTGTAGCAGCAAACCTAGGTACTCGTTAAACCTAATGTTATTTAAATAGATCAATTGAAAATCAATTCAGCCAAATGGAAATTCGCTTAGGCGTTAGGTTTGCTGCGGCGGGGGTATTTTCTGATCTAAGGGCTAGCAAATGATCTTGAAATATGTACTGCGGAGAGCCAATTACCTGAAACAATTGCTTTAGGACCTTCATAATAGCCAGGATAAACGATTTTAGAACAGTAAAATATTGTGTTTAAGTTTTCACCCAAACATTTTTTTCAGGTTTGGAACATCTCTAAGAGGGTAGAAGCTAACACACTTTTGATCGCTAAGACAACCATAGCGAGTAAGAACAAAATAAAAGTTTCAAAAGAAATACGGATAAGTGACGTTTCGGATAATCAACAGCAATTTTCTATCATGATAAACTTACTGAAAATCAATGGCCACTCCATCCTTCAGCCAGACAATCCAAGGTCTAGGGTTGCCGTTAGCCGCACACTCCAGAGTAACAGTGCTGCCCTCTACCACCACAGTTGAGCGTGGCTGTGCTATGAACGACGGAGCCCTTAGACTATGGGCAGACTCTAGGTCCTGATCTATCTGTAGAACTGCCTTGTCACTAAGTCTATGTTGATTGTTGCCACTGACATTGCAGCGGTAACTACCTCGGTCCGATACCTGCACTGACTCTATCTCCAAAGACCCTGCGAATCAAATGTAGTGTGAGCAAAACTGAATACTGATAACAAAATATATTTAGCAAATTTCGGTTCCATGTCAAAATCTAGGGCAACAAATATTTTATTTTTCCTAAACGAGTGATATTTATAGATTTTATTTTAGTTCCAGCAGTTCTTATAAGTTTAACCCACTGGGCGGAACATTTTCGTCGTGCTGCTAAAGCGCTCTGGCATTCCTAGACGGAACTGTTCCATCGGAACATTGCTAGTAGTTTTAAATTATTCTGATAGATCGCAGCAGCGATTATTATTGTGTCAATAATTTTTTCTGTCTATGTGCAATAATTTTATTGTGTGTATTTTTTGTTTCTTTGGTTTAATAACCTGTTTTGGAAAACAAAAATATTAGTTTTGAGGTACCGGTAATGTTTTTGTCCAAATGCCGCAACTGTCTTGTTTATGATTCAGTGAAATATACTTGTAGATAGGTAATTGTGGATTGTCTTCCAATATTTCTGAGAAGAATTTAAGACAAAATAGTAATGCATAAAGAAGTTATAGTTGTTTTTGTAAGTCACTAAAAGAGCTAAAAAAAGAGGAATTCCTGTGTGTAATGGGATGCCAATAGGTTAAAACTATATCACTAAATATACATAAACAAATTAAATACTGACAGGAAAATCATTCTCAGATTTTGAATTTGGGGCTTTTGATAGGGCAAAAAACTTAATTTATACTATCCAAAGACTTTTCCTGTTACTTCTAAACTGTTATTATCATTCAATGAAAAATAAATAATATGCAACTGTATCTGAGTGAAAATGAGGTATAATAATAGTGTTAAAAAACATGTATTAACCACAATAGTAAAACAGAAATACAAAATCAAATTTTTTAAGAGGGATTTGACTCAATATATGACCAATTTTTTAATCCTTGACATACTTACTACTGAAATTAATTTGCCAATTCTCGAATTTGCGTTAATTATGTTTGGAAATTTATATTGTTTAATGTACAATGAACCATTTGAACAATGAAGCAAGCAGGAAAATATTTCAAAGTGATTTTTAGAGGGAAATAAAATAAAAATTTGTTTTCATATAACAGATTTCATTAAATACAATTTTGAATCGTAAAACTTGTAATTTATAGTTTAGGGCCTATATTTTTATTTAAAAAACTAACCAAGATGGAAAATATTAGAAGACATTGAAAAACGTACCTGAAGGTAGGACTAACATTCGTGACAAATCCAAAACCAACGGCCGAGAATCTTTAATCCATGAGACTTCCCACGAGTTTTGTAGTGGGGGAGGGCCGCTTTCTACCAAACAAGAGAATAGGGCGGTCTGTCCAGGGAATAGACGCAGGTCTTTGGGTTGCTCTTCAAATGGCGGCAAACCTGTGGTGACAAAATTTATTAGTCTGGGTACAAAGAGTGATGAAATGTTTTTGCATTTCAGAACAAAGAAATAGCAAGTGGTAAGAGACTTGTGTTTAATAGTAGAGAGTTTAGTTTCGATGTTTTGAAGCAATTTATTAATGATAGGGAGTTCTCAAAGTGGATAGGGTTTTCCAAATGATTTTATAAACACATTATTGTGTTTTTTTTTTGGAAGGAAGGGGGGTTGAATTTTAATGAAATACTCCCGCGGCAGCAAACCTGCTGACTAAGCGAATTTCCATTTGTCTGAATTGATTATCAATTCTATATAAATAACATTAGGTTTAACAGGTACCTAGGTTTGCTGCTACAAGGAAACTAATAAAGTGTGTTTTTTAGTTAAGTATTAATAGCATAGTAAATTGGTCCAGGGCCTAGGTCTTACCGTGCCACCTACGGTAATAGCTGCTTCCCTATAGGGAAATTAACTAAAATACAAGACAAACATTGAACGAACATTGGGATTGATAAAAAATAAATGGATTAAAACGAGTTTATCCTTAAATCTGAGACATTTTCCATTTATTCTCTGGATCCATGTTGAGTCTTACCCACCGTGTGTCCCTCTTTGTAGTTCTCGTATTTCTTTAAAGGTTCAATCTTAGTATCAATTAACATATGAAATAGGCCTAGACAAAGTATTTTCATTAAAGATTGGAGGAACGAGATGGTCTAAAGGTACAATAGAGCTTTGGTTCCCAAAATTCTGGGTACGAATCCTGCCAATCACCAATGCCTTTTAACTATTTGATAATGTCGTGACCCTTTAGACCTCGTCTAATGTAATGTGTAAATAGTTCTAGGATGTGAAGGAATGTTATTCTTACGTGCGAGAGTGACAGTCGCGGTTCTACTGACGATGGAGCCGACGTTGTCTATGGTCGCTACACACAGGTATTGCTCCATCTCAACCCCCATCACAGCTAAGATCTGCAGGGAATTGTTATTCAGCTGTTTCCTGGTAACAAATACAAATATGATCAAATAAGAATTTCTCCCCACACAACTGATCCCAATAATTATTTATTAAACACAGTTTTGAGCTCTCGTACAGTTCCTACCTCCTAATATGATAATAGCCAAACAGATGAATTGTTGACATATTGAGACAACTTTATCAAGTTTTTTTTAAAGCATAAAACAGTTTAAAATTTTTAAATTTCCATCGCAATACGCCATGGAATATTTGATTGATACTGTTAGTAAAATATTATTTTCCAGAATGCTTGGGCTCCTTTTTTACTAATTTAACATAGACATAGACTTTATTTGCACAAAACATTCCATACATGTCATAACATTTAGAATAGGTGCATTGTCAAAATTAAATCCATACATAAAATATTTAACATTAAAACTTTTAACTTAAAATCAAACACTTAAAAAAAATTTCTAAATTGTAGTTCTGTAAAAATCTTCAATTAAGTAAAAAGCCTTGTCAATAAGAAAATTATCTATTGTATCTTTAAATTTGGTTTTGCTTAATGACTTATAGCATGGTGGAAGACATTGTACAATCTTAGCCCAGCATACAATGGAGATTTTTCATATAGGGTCAAACGGTGTCTGGGGAGTCTAAATATATTTTCATTTCGGGTTTCATACCTGTGATTAAAATGTATCGTTTCTGGTAGCTCATTTTTAACTGAATGTATGTAATTTAATAATTCTAGAATATACAACCCCGTTAATGTATGAATTCTTAAATTTTGAAAATGTTTCTTACAAGAACTGCGTGGATGAGAGTTGGTAATAATACGAATAATATGTTTTTGTAACCTGAATAAAGTTTTAATACCAGTAGCTTGACCCCATAAAATTATGCCATATCTTAACACTGACTCCACATAAGCATGATAAACTACTTTAAGTGTCTCAATAGAAACACAGTCCCTTAAATGTATGAATAAAGATGATATCGACCTAATTTTGATACGTAAATAATTCAAATGTGAATCCCATTTAACTGCGTCATCTACGTAAACCCCTAAGAATTTATGAGCTTTAACTAAATTAAAGGAACAGTATTCCATATTTTTGTGTCTAGTAGAAAATTTAATAATATTTGTTTTTTCAACATTAAGTTTTAACCCATTTTCTAAAAACCATTGCTCCATGTCCTTTAAAAACCTATATTAAAATATTATTGAATCATCAAAAGTTGTATTCGTTCGTTTAGTAGCTTTCCCTCCCACCACATGCATGGTCTGAGAAGAATACATTGCTTCAGTGTTATAGTATCCTTCATTATGGTTAAAGATCGCAAAAGAATGGAATGAAAATAGTAGGTACTTTTCCAATATTACATGTCCTACGTGAAGTATATTGTATAAAACACCAGTCACCAATCTAGTTAACTATTTGGTACAGGAAAATCAATAACCCATAAAGAAGAGAAAATAGTGATGGAAAATTGTGCTTGTGTCGCTTGCAACGCCAGTCCACGTTGGACAAAATCTTCAACATTCTGGCAATTCAAGCGCCCCACTGGGTGTCGCTACTGTCGCAAAGCTCCTATCACCCGCGTAGGAAGGAGCCTAAGAAAATGAGCAGTGTATGGTAGTATATTAGTTACCTGTATGGGTCACCGATGTATGTGAGGTCCTGCCTGTCAGCCGTCCTCCACTTGATGGTTGGCACCACCAGAGGATCTGAGGACCTAGCCACACAGTCCAGGACTACAGGATGTCCCGGCACAGTCACTACATCCTGTGGTTCTGTCACAAACTCCACCTCCACAACTGGAACAGATGTAAAGTTTTTAATATCCTCTTTAGACACGTTGTGTGAGAAAATGGTTACATCCTATTACGTTTGACAAAAAATCTGCAGTGTAGCATGTACTGTGTTAACGTGTATTTGGACTCAGTTATAAATTAATGAAATGTGCTTTATAGTACAATTTTAAACACACATACATTTTGTATTCATAAACACGCATAAAACAATCATTGATAAAACCGGTTGACACATTCAAATTAATCAGAGATTACAATACCGTACCTATTATTATTTACCACTAAACACATTAATTTACATTTGAGAAAAAAAAATTGTAAGAAAAAGTAGTTTATTAAAAGATCAAATCAGTTAAGAGAAAAAAAACTGCCTTTAAACTATCTGTAGAGGAGTTTCATATGACATTAAATTCTGTTATTATCCAAGCACTTCCAGATATCTAGCTAAAGTTCGTCTATTCCTTCCATTTATAAATTGGTGATAAGCTTTAATTTAATAATTAATCTTCCCAGCCAGAAATGTGTTAAGTTTAGGGTTAATTGGACAAATTACATAAAAATTATGGACTGTTTAATTTTCTTTACATTACACAAAGAACATCTCTAATTTTACCCAAACCAAGGCTAGTAATTCAGGTAGATAAGCTCTAATCTTGCTTACCGTAGTTATAATTCAAACAAATAGGTAGCAGAACTGCACAGTTGCTCACAACTACCTTATACAGAGTTAACTGGTGGAGAAATCACGGACACCACAACAAAGCCTATTATTAGTCATATACAGAACAGATACAATTTGCTGCTGGCGTTAGAACACCCGTGGACAAAATCTAATCCCACACTGAGCTATTAAGTTATCAGGATAGTGTCAAGGACTGACCAACACAAGTAGACTTCTCATCCCATTGCAAATTTTGAAGCTCATCTTTTGTGTCCAGTTTATGTCCGGTGACACTGATCGCTAGTGTCAATGAAATTTTGTTTCTGTTATTTTAGGGTTAATTTCATGATTTGTGCTTTACTGTTTGTCAATTTCATGATTTCTAATTTAATGTTTGTTAATATAACTAGGGGGCTTGAGCTGTTCTATAAGGGTGAGATATCTACTAAGGGAGTATGTTTTATCTATGATAATGTGTTGCGAACGGCAGGAAGTCCCACTACCGTGCAGAGCCGTGAGGTTAGCAGTCAACGTTAAGAGTCTTTGGAGCCTAGACTTTCTAACTCATAAAAAAATTATAGAACTACAAAGAAAATTTCTAATCCCTCAGTATACTAGATATTAAAATTATAATCACTTTGGTGTTTGAAAAATTATTTTTGGAAGATAAATAACTCTTCAGCAGCTGTTTGAAACTATCCAAGACGGCCGCTAGCCTCCAAGGACTCATAACAGAGTAAAATAAGACCCATTGTACAGTAAATGTTTGAAACCATTCGCTATCCAAACCTTACCATTATAGCCTACTTTCAATAAAACAGGATCATTTAGAAGACACATTAATGGGAAGGTGTTCTTTTACAGTAGAGTAATGATTGAACTTTTTACTGGGTAATAAAACTGTTGATGGCAGTCTTATCTATTTATAGCTTTAATTCCCCTCCAACCACCTTTCAATGAGAAATTAGTTTCCATTTTTACTTCTAATAATTTACTGCTTGAATTCTTTTACTGGGTTTTTGACTAGGCCTACTATAATCAAATTTTAAATGTCTCCAAACATGTTGTTAGAGGGAGCTTATCAAAAACATTGCTAAAATATTTTGGACAAAATTAAACTTTCAAAAGAGCTTTAACATCCTCAAAGTAGGCTATGGAATTTCTGAGATTTTTGAGTGTGAATAATTTGTATTTCATACTATAACTTAAGAAACAGTTTAACCACCGATTTCTTATGGAAAATAAATAAACCTGTACTTTGCTTGTTTAAGGGTGGATTTGAATAGGGAATAAATTTGAAATTTAAGGAAATATTTTAGTGAAAGTCCAATCAGGAAAGGTTGAAATTCACTTAGGCCTAGTCTACAGGTTTGCTGTGGCGGGGGTATCATTAGTTTTATAGTTTATTTCTTATTTTAAATAAACAAGACCATTGCACTCATATGAGGTCATGTTGTATCATTTATCCTGATGTTGGGAAACCTATGAATGATTGATATTGGAGGTAAAACACAATTTACTGTAATATTTAGGCCTGGATTTACCTACGCAATTTTTTGTCATTTTAACCCCCCCCCCCCCCCCATGTAACAAACCGTAACGCTTGAGCAAAACCCCCCCACCCCCTTGTGTTAAGTAACTCGATCATTGTAGACTTTAATAACAGCTTAAGAATAATTTTACCAGTGGAATATGGATTTAAATAATTGATTAAACTTGTAATGACTTTTTTTTAGTAACCTCTTTAAAATCAAATCAAAATTGATACAAACAAACAAGATTGTAACTATTAATATATAAAGGAACAACAGAATAAATTATCCCAATTAAAACATAATTAATATCAAATAAAAATTTCAAATAAATGAGTTAATAATGAACAGTTAAATTGTTAACAGGACCAAACAACAAAATAAAAGATTTATAGATTTATAACCACGAATAGAACATACAATTTAAGGAAAAACTAAGATAAATGACAAACAAATTTTGCCACAGAAACTATATTTAGGAGATTATAAAATGTTACATTTCCAAGAGAAATTAAATTAAACATTAAGTTAGCTAAGGTTTAAAAGTATAATATAAAAACTAATAATATTGAGGCAACAATAAAACAAAAACTGTATGTATCTTGGACGTATATTTTTTTAAACTAACTGAATTAGATATAAATTTGATTTTTATTGTATTTTCAAAGAGCAATGTGTGCGTTACGTAACATTGAGCTAAACCCCCTCACCCATATAACGCAGGGTAACACTATGCCATACCCCTTCCCCCTCTGTGTTACGTAATATATGCATGTCCCCCTACCAATAACCTCAAAGCTGGAAGATAAACAATACGATCAACATAAAAGTAGATATCAGTCAATATAGGCTTATAGCCAATATAGGTCAATATAGCATTGTATCATGCCTAAAACTGTATTGAAAGTGAGTCAGAAAATGTGCAATAAGTTATCTAATCCAAACGAGACTGGCTTTGGTTTATTATCATGACATCATATGTTTGGAAACATTGATATCAGAAACTTATCAAGCTAATGGGTTTACTGAACTTCTGATAATCGTTGGAGTTCAAAGAGTTTTACATATATTCGTAATGAATAACTCCTTTATCCAGTATGAAACAAAGTGAATAAATCTTTTAGGCTTACAAAACCCGGGCAATATTTTTTTAAATAATTTCTGTTCAAGTCTCAAGTTAATAGTTTAGAGAGTGTAGGTTGCTTAAAATAATTGCAACAATCATTTGAAAGAATAACCTCTACAACTTTTAACGTAATGATTATATTTAATTTTGACTTTAAACGATCTTTGGTTGAAATGTTAGGTGAGAAAAAATGTTTCTCTGAAATGTTCAAATAGGTGATAAATTGTTTATCTGAAAATGTATCTGACATTTTAATTTACCTAGTATGGTTAATTTATCTTTAAAATTTACTACGCAAAAGTGTGGTTAGCTTAAATTCGGTTCTTCGTTGATTCTTCATCGTATGCTGCTTACTAGTTTGTAATTGTAGGTCTAAATAAATAAAAAATGACAAAACTATATCAGCAAACTTTGCGAAGAGTGACAACAAGAACCACAATTATAAGGGTTATTTCATAGCCTACTTTTAAATGACCACTTTAATAAAATGGAATTATTAAAACGATTTTTCCCTGAATGGGTCATCATTCAGTTTATTAATTGAATCATTCTTTACTACCTACAACTTGGAGGGAATTCAAACCTAATTGAATCAACTAAACAAACCAAATGCTTACGCTTACTATTGTTGTCAGCCTTTTCAGTAGGCCTATTAAAAATTATTGGTAAATTATAATATAGTAAAAATAATTTCAATATCTACTCGAAACCAAAGGAACAAATATGAACAGTACGGTACAAGTAGAAACAAGTAGATTTAAAAAAAAATCTCTTTTCAAACTAGAGATTTATAAATATAAACTCCTTATACGTATTAAGCTTAGATTCACATTTTTTAATTGGTAACACAAATTCTCCCTATAAATGTTATCTAAACATTGTGCAGTCTAAGAAATGTCCCCGAAGTAGTTCTGGGATTACGTCTCAAGGTGGGTAGCCTATTGATTGGTTCAAGTTTCAAAGAACCACTTGATGGGGAAGCTAATGACTTGCTCTTTATGGCCCTCCTAATGGCAACCAATCAGAATGAATAGGTCGATTTCTCATAGGCCTACTTAAAAACAAAAAGGTTTTAAGTTTGGTCTTTAACCTTTCTACGGTTCACTGAAAATTTTATAGCAGGACTAATCAACGTGAAACTAAGATGAACCATCTGTTAGACAAACGAGTAACCGACTGCTTGAATTGATTTATTTTCAATATATTATCAATCATGAATTGCGATGAGACGTCTAGATGTGTATATTATATTTTAACCCAAATATGAGTGTAGAATGGAATGTGATGCCTTGTGTAGCTTTGTTACTGACTAAAACCAGCTGTTTCATTAGCCTTTCCATTTACACTTATTAAATACCCCTGCCGCAGAAAACCTGCAGTCTAAGCGAATTTCCATTTGCCTGATTGGATTTACACTAAAATGTCTCCTTAAAAATATCAGATTCATTCCTTATTTAAATATACCTAATTACTTTAACGAGTACTTAGGTTTGCTGCAACCAGGGGGGTAAAAGTGTTTTTTTTTTTACCTTAGGCGCATAATAACGCTTCAATATACTTAAATTATTTGTTTTTATAAGCTTAACAAAATGGTTTCTTGGAAAGAAATTGCATTATTTTATGTTTTTTGGGTCGAAAATGGGAAAAACCAATTTTTACCCTATAAAACCCCCCATAAACCGCTGTTCCCAAAGTCCGATCATGCTGGTTCGCGAACTCGTTCATATAAATGTAGGTTTACACATTTATGTACCGATACGATACCAAATTTCATAAAAATCGGATAATTCTTGCTCGAGTTATCGTGCTAACGGACACATATATATGAATTTGAACGGATGGTGTTTTTGGCCTCTAGGGACCTCAAAATGAAAAAGTAAATCGGTCCCAGGTCCAGGTCTTACCATGAGTACTACAATTAATAGCTTATTCCCTAAATGGGAAATTCACTAAAACCCATTAATGAAGGACAGTTGGGTCTAGTTTGGAACTCAAAAAGCAACACACTTTTTTCAGGATTGAACCGTCGACCTTTTGATTAGTAGGCAAGCACTTTACTGCTTAGCTAACCAGCTATATACCTGAGCTATCCATAGCTAAAAGCAATAGAACACTACTTTTTTTCCATTGTTAACTAAAATTGCAGCAAAATTAAGATACAATTTTTACAAGTGTGATTAAAAGCACTCTTAACAGTAAAACAATTGAAATTAATAAAGTTACCTGCTAGTACAATTTCTATAATGAAAGACGCAGCGCAACCTTATTCTTGTCTGTTATTAATTTCTTAAACAAACGCTCTTTTACAAATGTAAATAAATTTAGGACCTAACTTATTTAAATTATTTTTTTTTTTACAAATAATCTTACCTAGCTTTTAATTTGTGAATACAATATCAATCAAAATTTAAAATATTTGTTTGAAATTAATTGGCTCTTCAAATGGATTATTTGTGTTTTTAAAACTAATCCACGCAGTGATCCTAAATTATACACATAAATTTTGCTGTGTATTTTGTCCATGTAAGTTAGCAGATGAGTTATATAATTTAACATTTTAGAGCGTAATGTAGGCCTACCGGTACAGAAGCAACATTTCCTAGCCATTAGACACAGTACAGATCAAAATAAAGAGCTGAAAAAGTAAAACATAAAAAATACCCAGACAATTTTTCTAAAAAGTAAGCTACTTCCAGGGTAAAGTTGAAGTTAAAGGGATTTTTCATTTCCCTTAAAGGATGTGATAGGCTTTTGTCATTTCCTGGTAATTTTGTAAATTTGAAGCATATATCTTGATGTGCTTATACATTTATAGAAAATCTTGATTATCAAAACAAAATGCCTTTAAGTTGTATTGAAACTGAAGATTAAAAATCAAATAGATAGACTAGTATCCAATATACAGTAGGCCTAGTTAAAAACACCCCTTCTACAAGGAAGCTATAAAAATATATAATAAAATGAATTAAAATAAATCCATATGTTATAAAAATGCATTATTACATAAACATAACAATATCGGGATTGATCCTTAAAAAAAGCATTGGCCTACACACCAAAAATTATATTCAGTAGGCTATTAAAAGTCTTATCTATAGGTGTAGTTATTTTATTACTTTATCCAAACACATGATTTCATGTCTACTTAATTATAATCACCTCTTCAATACAATTTAGGAGGTCCAGAAAGATTATCTTTTTTTTACCTTGCCACACAAAATGAATATTTTGACTTACTGTAGGCCTACTTTAGAAGTACTCAGTTGCACAAAAATGCAGCTGTGTAAAAGATGATATCTATCTTTTAATCCTAATGATATTTATCTTTTTTTATTTATGAAAATTTAACTGATACTGATATCAGATAAACGCTGGCTAATAAAGAAGTTTTTATTTATTTATTTATCTTACCCATGTGGGGGTAATTTTCAGCAATAAAGAATGTTTTGAACAAAAAATCACTAAGTTAAATAAGTCTCCTCTTTTTTCGACAGTTCTCTTATTCTTAGATCATTTTAACTTAGACACCAATCTCTTCAAAACTATATGAACTTTGCAGTAATAAAACACATTGACTACCGGTACCGTAATTATACACTTAAATTAAGTGAAGGGATCATGCCCTTTCTAAGTAAAAACGGATTGCTGCTCTACAACATTTAATATTTATAAAGAAATTGTATTATGACGAGAAGGAATATTTATTTTTAGGAGTAATTTTTTTAATATGATGGGTTTGAGTTGATACTTCGAAATATTAATCAGTTTAAAGATAATGAGTGGTACTTTTAAAAAAAGCTACATAGGTGCATACACACTGGCGAACGTTCACAACAAACATATAGGCTTAAATTGAACGTCAAACTAGATCAAACGTTCGTTGAACCTTATTTAAGCTGTCCGACGGACAACATATTTATGGAGTTCACTTTAAACTCAATACCGTATCTAGGTTTTCGAGTGAAGATGGATGTGAGTACGGTAAGCGTCAGCATTTACTTGCTGTAGGCCTACTGTTGTGTCTGCTATCCTAACTTATTGAATTATCAGCTATCAACAGCATTGTTGGTAGTGGCAGAGACAATTGTAAAGAAGGTGATATAGGAATATTGTGGGCAGTAGGCCTACTTCAGAGTGGACTTAACCCTCCCAGTGTTACTTGACGAAAATTCGACAAGCAGCACACTTTGTGTAGTGTTACTTGTCGATTTTTCGACACGCAGACATCGTTTACGGCGAAGGCTCTATGACTGACTGAATCGGATTGAACTGGATCGAGTTAGGTATCGTTCTTTCCGTAATATTCTAAGCTTTCTCCAGAGGTCTGTCTCAGCGCTGTACGTTCTCTGAGCCGATCGTAATTGTAATTGTAGCAGACAGCTGACGTGCGTGTATTTGTAAACAAACAGCTAGGTTACCCTCGGACCGATGACTAATGTGTTTTATTACGTTTATCATTGTTTTAGTGTTAAAAATCAAAAGTAGTGATATACATGTTGCATGATAAGAAGATTTAAGTGGTTTTGAAGTGCTGGTTGATGATCCTGAAGAAGTAGGTAGTGATATTGATGTAAATTATCAGCCAGATTCCTAGCTATGGTTAGGCTATGCATTCTTAGCTAAACGCTATGTACTGAAATCTGTTTTTTGCCCATAACTTATTTATTTGCAAATCTACTTCCTTATATTATTATATATTTGTAATCCTCATAAAATTTAGAACAAAGTGGCTATTTTCAAATATTTATAGGCCTATAATTTATACAATAATTGAGCGCGAACTTATTTTTTTTTTGAAAATTTTCGAAATTATATTTTTTTTACCCAAAAAATTTTTTTTGGAAAAAATGTCCCTTATGTTTTATATATAATATTGAAGCCCATGATTTTCCAAACAAAATGGTATATAGAACATTAGAATTAACATTGTTTTAAGCTTCTCAGATCCGTTTTAATAAAACCTTGCAAATGCGCCAAAAATAGGTGGACATTAAGGCCTAAACTATGGACACTTGGAGGGTTAACTAAAGCTACAATTTTTCCCTGTCCCAAAACTGGTCTTTATTCATTTATAAACTAAGTACAAAATTGCTACCGTATCTCAATTTGCTTAGTACCTAACTAATTTGCGCTCTAGTGGCAAACTCACTAGCTCATTTGAGGAAGAGGAAGTTGAGCAGGGGTAAGTTTAGGTGCTGCTTTTTATTTGAGATGTAAGGTACTAAGTTTAATACAGTAGGCCTATTTATGCTCAGTTAGAAAATCCTAATTTGTCATACTGTATCTAGAAATCTCCCTGATTGGACGAAAGTTAAAATAAAAACCTTCAAACTAGCCTACCATGACACCCTGAAATAACCTGTTTTGAGATTGCCTACTCTGTTCCCAACAGCGTAAGTTACACATCATAATTAGGAGGTAACTTAAAAGGAAACCAAGTAGATGAAGCCAAATACAGGGTACCGTAAGTGTTTACCGTGTGAATAAATAAATAAATCATATAAAAACACCAAGTTATAAGTTATAGTTGTAGTAGGCTATGTCTTGTGAGACACCAGTGTTGTCTAATAGTAACACCTGACCAAAGGTACCTAGCTATTTAATAAAGACATGTTATTTTTAGTGCCTTTTCTTGCCCAACGTATCACAAAACTACCATAGGACTCTCCTTTAGGCCTCAGCCCCTCCAAGTAAGTTAATTAACCTACTTGTCGTCACAAGTTAGAATCGACCAAAAGACCATTCTTTTAATCATTGTATCTTAGCCTACAATTTGTAGGCCCTATTGCCCCAAAATGTCGTAGGTATACATTTTTCCAACTTTCAGGAACTTAGAAATTATTTAGCCAAAAACAAATTACATAATGAGATCTACAAGGGGAAAATACACTGTTATCTCTCAAAGTGTCAAAAAGTAAAAGACCTAGCCTATAAAAGTTAATTTTACTACTTTCCCTCTGAAGTAATCTACCTCAGAAAACTTTTTTGAGATTATAAGTCAACCTGAATCGTACCATAAACATTAGGCCTATCGTAAATTTTTTTAAACGGCATAATAAGTTACTGTAAAATTGAACTCTAGTCTAAATAGGCCTACCTTATTCAATCTGTAATAGGTGTAGAGGCCTACTCAAATGGTCATTATAACTTGCTAGCCTTTGGCCAACGATATAAGGGATTACGAAGAATATATTATTGCAGTATCTTGTGTAAGGGCTAGTTCTTCAATTAGTATTTACAATAGACTAATTAATAGTAATTACAACTTACTTGAGCTTCCGTAAACATTGTTAGTTGGTATACAAAATGTCGCACAAAAAGATAAACAAACTCCCAAATACACCTTCGTCGAAAACACCATTTTGAATGCTATAAATCCATTTTATCTAAACTATGAGTTGTATCAGTTTTAAATGTTTTTGTTTGAGTTGTATTCAATTGTCATCTAATTGGAAAAATAGAATTTCACTCATCATAAGTCATAACAAAATAAACCTTTGTGAAAAATAGACATAACTCCGACAGACCGCCATAGCACTTTGGTTTACTACACCCACTCGCCAGTGTTACCAACTGCCAGGCTAGGGCTCAAAATTTCCCAGCGTTCCCGCGAAAACCCTCGCACTTACCCAACAATCTAGTAAAATCCCCCAAAACATCTTGATCATTTCCCCAATACACCAAATTTATAATTATGGCTTTTGGTTGAATTTATTAACAATTATCCTTAACAATTTAAGGATGTAACTTATAACTCTTACAAAACTCTTACATAATAACATTGTAAAGTTGTTAATATTCCCTTAACTTATTCTGACCTATAGGGGAAGCACAAAAGTCAGTGTATGTTAAATTAAATTCAATATCTATATGATATTTAATTCAAAATAAAAAGGTTACTTTATCTATATCTCCATAACACAAAAATCTGTAGGCTCTCCAGTGATTTTTTAAGGATCTTAAACAACATTCATTCAATATTGAATTTGTTAATAATTTATATGTAAGCTCTTCTTCAAACATAATAGTTTATTATACATGATTAGAAAAACGGTTTAAATTATTTTACATTGAACAGGACGTGAAGTTGAACAGTTAGTTTTATCTTTCATTCTGCAACATTGAACAACGTTCACTCTGATTGGAATCTAAGTAGGGAAAGTACTTGTTAACGAAAGGCTTTATGCAGTCTGATGTATAGTTAAATTAAAAATAAAATGTTTGACTGTTGTCTAATTTCAATTTCATAAACACGCACATTAGCTTACATATAGATAATTCATATGAAAATTCCAGCTCAACTTGAGCAATTTTTAAATCCATCATACATAATAAAATGAAATTGAATTAAAATATAATTACAGTTCTTTAAAGTAAAAAAATTCAGTCTTTGTTTAATTTCATCATAAGATAAAAATAATTTAGATCTCACAGTCTACCTAGTTTTGGGGATCCAATCAGTTTATGTTGGTAATGTGGTTGAAAAATAGCTTAACTATTCACTATCGATGGTTTTACCTAAATATATTCCCAAATTAACGGTGAAAATACCCTCACGCCTTTGAAAATTCCCGTACATTGGTAAAAACCCCACAGAGCTATGAAAATACCCCAAAACGAGTAATTGTCTGGCTTATAAACAGACAGCCAGGATAGCCACCATTTAAAAATATAACAAATAAATCAGACACAGAATTAACAATATAGGCACACTAAATAAGATCGAAAAATATAACTATACTATATGAAAGACACACTAACTAACTTATATGACATGCATTATTCTTGAATAAGATTTGAATATAATTTTAATCCATTAAGATCTGTGTTTGATCCACTAGTAGATTCTACTTTAAAACTATAGGTAGTCTGTTACATGTTAGTAGGCCAAAACGAGAAAACTAATTTTTTTCTTTTTACTCATCTTACGGTACCACAGATCTGGGGTCCAGCACGCATTGTTATTATTGCCAATAAGACAAGGACGTAGAAGTAAATGGGCGTATTTAACATAAATATGAATGAAGGATGCGATGCCTCAATATTATGTGGCTTTGTTACTGAATAAGAACTGGGGTTCCTGAAGCCGAACCAATTATTATGTAGCAGATTATCGCAGTTTAGAAAAATAAAAATTCCATCTTTTTCAAGATCGAACCGACAACCTTTGATTAGTAGGTGAGCAATATTACCACCTAGCTAGTCATCAGACTTGCTACTGAAGAATTAAATTAAATGCAATATTGTCAGAAGTATATAGGTTACTTTGTATAGTGAACAAACAAGTGTTTGTTTGTACTATAGTTGAAACGTTTTATTGGATGCTACAATAGTTTCATTTATGGAGCGTAACAGCTGTATGAAGACTCCATAATCAATGGGAGAGATGAAGAAGGAGCTTCTTTCACCTCTGGAGTATCACAACCCATCCACGGAAGCCAAGAGACCCAAGAGTATTCACATAGGCCTGGGTCACTCATAAGGTATCTAGCCTTCACTGATTGGTTCAGGACCTGAAAATCAAAAGACATAGGTTAGAACAGGTCAGTTTAGTTGGCAGTTAGCTTGCCATTATGGTTTATGTGTATAAATAGTAAAAGAAACATACTAGAACAACAAATATCAACTTTCTCTAAATTTGAAAGTCTTCTGGTTGCCGCATGGTCAAATTCAGCTCCAGTGTCACCATAGGTCAATACTATCCTCAGTGGTACCTATACTTAGACCCCTATTTTAGCTAACCTTAGAAATTAAAATACTACTTACTGCACCAGTAATTAGCAAGAAAATGAATTGAAACAATCACACAAATGTGAGTTCTAGGTCAGGTTGAAATCCTTTTCCTCTATACTTCATATAGCGCAATAACAAATAATCCACTGCATGTTGCTAATGAATATTGTTGGGTATTCTCTACTTATTAAAATTTTTCACCCAACGAAGCAATGTTGATCCAAGCGAAACATAGGGGTAAAGTCTTTTATAAATACTAAAAAGATAAAAACAAGACCTCGATGATTAAGACCTGTTCAGGTACTGGGTATTTTTCTTACTTCCAACCCCATTTATGTGAGTATTCATGCAACATAATTTAAGGGGAGTTAGTTAGTGGGACACTGTGTATCAAAGAAAGAACCGCTTTCTTAAATACCTGGGCCGCCCAGGGACTCAAAGAGGTTTTAGGTTTGATGGGGTTGCAAATTATGGACAAATTACCCCACAAAGGAATGAGGAAGGGGCACAATTATCTTTCGTGCATACAGCGTGGCACTAGCAAACTGTGGGCCTGTTTAAAGAGAAGAATTTAAAACTCTAGGTGTTATTACACCCGAGAAAACCTACCTTTGCTGAGTATTCAAGAGCTGACTTAGTAAGAGCTTCTTGAACTTCCTTTGACTCCAGCAGAGCGGATACTTTAGATTTGTCCAGTGTCCCTACTTCATTTGTTTTTGCAGACACTGTATCAAAAAGCAGGGATGATGGGTAACCTTCTAGATTTTTCTCTGCTAAAACTGTTTCTACATCTTGTGCCATCTGTAAGGAAATAAATGTAACAACTGACAACTTGTTGTTTAAATTTTGTATAGCTGTTTAAAAACGTAACAAATTTGGAAGTAGATGTTGGTTATCAATGTACTGACTGAAGAAGGACATATGTTTATCACTATCTCTTCTTCAAGTAATTAAGGTTTATATTATACAAAAAAAGTAAACACAGTACAATAGTATAAATTCAGTTTAAAAAGTTTCACATCATAAATTATTTCTACTTGTTGACTACAAATTTTTTGATGACGGTTGAATATGGTGACATCATAGGATGTTTTAAGGGTTAAAATAATTATGATTAATTTATATAGTCTCAGTATTGCAAAATGGTGTACCAATAAAATAAAACAAAAACAGTTAAGCGTATCAATTTCATAGTAGACATTTATTTTGGCAGGACAATTATTTGTTATTAATATTATTATTTACTGACTACTGTACTTCCTATGTAAGGAAACAAAAACTTTGTTATGCATCTTCAAACTGCTGTTATTTAAATTAGTTGATTTGTAACCATCTATTCTAATTCTTACGTTTCCAAAATGCAGATTTATTGTATATAATGATTAATTCTAAATCTTTGTGACTGATTAGTCGCCTTCCAAAAACACGCACACATGTAGGTGGATTGGTTTCTCCAAATAACAAAAAAAATTACTTGGGGATATTTTATATGAACGTTCACAAACTGAAATTTTCATTAACATTCTTTCTTAATTTAGTCACTCAAAACATACTCTTCATAAATTCAAAAACTAAAATGCATTAAAAATGTGATTTATTCTACAAAGCAAGAAAAAAACATTTGATTTTTTTTTATCCCTGTGAATACTTACAATAATCGAAGAACCACTCAGCAGACCAACTACGTACAAGAAAAACATGATGACCAAACAGGTGTGGCTTAAAATTATCAGTCCTTATAGAATGGGCAGCTAGTGATAATTATATCAACACCATAGCATGTCTTCCTGTTACAACATGAATAATTCCAAAGTCGAGATAAAACAATTAAACAACTCGACCTAAATAAACTCTACTTTCAAGGTAACAAAAGTTGATGCTATACAGGGTGAGGAATTTTTACTGAGCCACCACTGGTATATCATAAACTATTAGATTTAGAGACACAATTAAAAAAGAGTCTTCACCTAGTTTTTATAAGAAAATACAACGAATGAATGAAAATACAATAAAATGTCTAGTATTTACTGATATGGTGACCATCTTTAAAAATCGCTATAGAATATACCATGTGATTTTTTTATCTAGAATATGCAATTTTAAGACACTTTTTTGTTTGTTTGAATTTTCTAAGAGTTTCGGAGATATTAGCTGTGGAAATTTAATAGATTGTCCATAAAAACACATTAGAAACACTTTGAGAGGCTATATTTTCAAAATTTTTCTGTAAAATAAAAACATTCTTGTAGTGTGTCACAAATTTAAATATGTTACACTCATTAAAATGAAATGAAATGAAATATTTATTTGTCACATAGAATTTACATAATTGTGATACGTCACCAGTGAGTAAACATATGACACGTCAGTTTTTCAAACAAAATACATGATATTATTTATTTTATTTCATTGTAGTTACCGTAGTAATATATTACAAAATAAGGTCGAAAGATTAAAATATAACAAAAAGAGTTAGTTACAAAAAAATTCATCAACTGAATAAGGACAAAGTAGTTCCAAATGTTCCCTAAGTAGTTTTTTTTAAAATATCCATCTTTTATGTCGATTTGATTTGGTTAGGGAGGTGGTTGAATAGCTTCCTACCCATATACAAAGGTGCTTTCTCATAAATAACTGTTCTATGGATAGGGAACTGAAGAGTGTTTCTATGTCGAGTGTTATATGGATGTTGGTGATTTTGTGATGAGAATGAGGTCAAGTGTTTTTTAACAAATATACATAGTTGATGAAAGGTTCCCAAATGTTTTAATTGAGTAAAGGTATTTTGAACTTTTTTGTGCATTTCAAATGGTAGTGTAGCGATTCTTAAACATTGACTGCTATCACCTGCCACTGTAACTTACTTAATGCTATGCTTGAAATCACACTTAAAATAATTCAAAAGATCAATGTATTCTAAACCATGTCTTGATGAGTTCCATATAACTTAACCTTAAGTGGATTTTTATTTCTATGCTTAGGATTGATAACATTGAAACACTACAGTAGTATAGTTTTGTGAAAACACTCATCGTCTATCATATTGCATTGATTTTACATTTTGGAAAACTTAAAAATATATTGACCATGATGTCAAAATTTCTTGTAAATAGTGACCATTGTTAATCACATTCCTTTAAACAAAACTTTAATAATTCTTTTCTACTTTTTGCATTTTATGTGTACAGTTTTAACATTCTATTGCACACGATTTCTCAAAATGGTATAATCTATAATAGCTACGCTATTCGAAAGTGTTACAATTTTTTTGTAAATTTTCAAAATTTTGACAAGTAAATTTATTAATTCAACTTTTTCTATCACATTTAAGCTGTTAGGAACCAAGAAAAGTGTATATATATATAATCAACCAGATATATAATCAAAACATAAAAGGATCAAGTGTTATAAGAAAAATAAATTTAGACGTTATTGGAAAACAGTTTTATTACAAATGAACAAATAAACATGCAAGATATAATTAAATATTTCAGTGGAAGGTGGAAGTACAATGGAAAAAAAATGTAATGTACAAACAAGTTTTCTAACCCTACTTTGATTACAATAATTTAAGAACTGTGATTTTTAAATGAGTCAGAGACTTAAACAATGTCTTAAAGAGCAAAATATACATTCAAAACCACCGGGAAATCTACTTTAATACTGAAACAATGTGATCGTTAACCCTTTGCGGTCCAATGGCGAGTATAGGTCGCTGTGCCCCATTTTAACGAAGGACTAAAAATAGCGACCTTTACTCACAAAACAAATCAACCTTAGAAATAGAATAGTGTGTATAGGTTGCCATTCGAGAATTGGTGAAAAAGGTGCACGGCGACCTATACTCGCCATTCAATCGCAAAGGTCGCCGCACGCCATTTTCCTGAACGCTCGAATGGCGACCTATACCCGCAAAAAAATCTATCTCAAAGGGTTAAATTAAAATTAAATTACATATCAGCCTTTTAAAACATGGAAATTCATAAATAACAATAAAATCATTGCTTAGTATTTAGTTAAAATCACAGAAGAACAGTACGCAGGGCATCCTCTGGGTGAAGATCGAATAAAACTTCAGAGCCGTCGTTGAACAAAAATGAGGAACCTCCGTCAATGACCAATCGAGCGTCTCGGCAACGTGAGCGAACCCAGAGAGTCTGCGCGAAACCGCGTGGCGAGAGACCTGGAGGGGACGGCCAGACGCCAGCGTTGATCAGGTCTCTAATGGTATAACACATCTCCATCTGTTCTGTTTAACAAACAACACTGATCAGTACAGAGCTGTGAAAATGCTATACATAAAACACAACACAAACATTCAGCATGAGACATAAAAACCTCAAAACAATATAGAAATCATACATGAATGATAAGTTTAGAAGATAGGCTTCCACGGTCACTGCAGATTGTCAAATCTTGACCGCGTCTTTGAAATAGAAAAACAACTTCTTATACAACTTCAACGACGCAGTCATCACCCGAAGACCAAGATATGAATGATAAATGTTATTATTTTAATGAATTAATGTTTAAAATCATTTTTTGAAAAGCCAACAACCACATCAAAGCTGCAGGTTTTCCTGTTCAATATGTTCCATTTTCAAGAGAATGTACACATTTGAAATGTATAGAAAAAATTTACTCTGCAAAAATGAAAGTCGTGATAACTCAAGTGTTCATTAATCTAAAACAAAATGTTATCCTGAGCTTTAAGAGAAAACGCAACACGTAGAATTTATTCTACTAGCATTGAGGGCATCAAACTTTTTACATTAAGTAAAATGAATCAAATACTTTTTGCATAAATTTACACAGTGAAGAGTTTGTGTCAGGATGGCGTGTGCGAGGGAGGAGGGAAATGCTCCCAGCGACACTGAGAGTGCCAATGATATTCAATTCATCCAACGGCAATCAATTGCTGACAAAAGAACACAAGCTGCAGTGGTAGAGGAAGTCTCCTTGTGCACACTCTCCTGCTCGCCACTCTAATTGACTCGATATGTACTTTTTTTGAGGATATACAGGATAATTATTCAATCCAAGCATAGTCACATTTTGTACTCAAACTACTTTGTGCCGTCGGTTGAATCAGTTTGTAAGATCATGATGGAGGGTGAGGACAACTGGAACTGGTGGTCAAAACATCCTCCAAGTCAAAAAGAACGTCCTAGATCAGATTGCAGTCTAGGTCGTGTGAGCTCTTTGCGTGTGGGAAAACTTTGGCCTAGTTAAGATGAAGTGTGACATGTGTTCCCAGGCTAGTGTCCAAAGAGCAAAGGAGGTTTCTAATGGGTAGTTTACAGTCTTAAACCCTTGGAAGTACCACACTACAGGCTGGTCACCTGCGTGCAAAATTTTCTTGCCTACAAAAAACGTATTTAATCAACTTACCAGGGTCGAAGAGCAGAGAGTCGTTATACTTCTTGGCGATGGCTTGACACTCGGAAGGAGTCGGTGTGAGTCCAGCGCACTTTAGTACGTGAGCCACTCCTTCGTCAGTCACTCTGTTCATCGACAAGTGCCAAGATGTGGAGCCAGTCCCTGTACTGACACAAAGTCCTGAACTCTTCACTCTGAAAGTGTCTTCTCTCGGGGGAAGCTTCATCTCGAAATATGACACTTGAGCTGACATGCTCTCGCCAATGAAAACCTAAAATGTTAGGATTACAGTAGTTTAATCAAATAGTATTTGTTAATGGAATTTGTTTTTTTGAGTCGGTTTATGTTAAAATAATAGTTTACATAAACCAGATGATGTAGGCCTAACAAATAAGATGCAACATGGGTGTGACCTATTAATAGACAAGGATACTGAGATTGCACCATTGACAGGAAATACTTTGCCACAGCAAACCTGCAGAAGCAAATTTCAATTTTATTTTCCCTAAAAAAATATTTCCATAAACATGTCAAATGCATTCTCACTATTAAAGTAACATGAAGTAACAAGCATTAAGAAATCTACAATAAAAAATTTAAAAAGACGACTCAAAATTTTGCAGCTTACCCAAGAAACCATTTAAGGTAACATACAATAACATTGAGAACGTTTGACACAAACTTTCTTCAAGACAAAAATGTGTGATAACAAGTTCTTAGTGTTTCTTGTTAGTGTGAATCTTGTTGAAATCCAGTCCATCAGTGTATATTTCATTTTTTTATTTGATGCCCGACTATAATAATGAATAACTTAAGTTGGACTCCATACCAAGATGAGACATTTTTTTAGTTGAATCACATTAAGGAAGAAGAATTTTTTGTCCTAGAACGGCTAGGCACGAGCCCGGAATTGTTCTTCACATTACTTCAGACTAGACCTAGAGGTTACGGCATTATAACTTATAAAATCCATTGGTGATTTGGCGGGATTTGAACCCGGGACTCCAGGAACCGGAGTCCCATGCTCTAACCACTAGACCAGCTTGCTCCTCAAGGAAGAAGGAAATGGATACAACTTTACTTACCTAAGCAAAGAGTTATGTTGTTGAAAGCACACAAAAAATTCACAACACAATAAACTTAACAACACTTAATTTTTGAGTGCTTTCAGCTACCTATCTGGAAATGTTTCCTTAGGTAAGTTTAGCTGAGTATCTATTCCTTCTTCCTTAGTGTGTTCCTAAGCCAAGAGTTTTTTTAAACTTATTTAGTTGATAATAATTCATGCTTAAATGATTATTCCTGCCTCCAATGTACCTAAATGATTCTATACCTCAAATATAATGTTACCATCATACAAACCTCATTTAAAGCTAGGGATGACTGAGTAGGAAATGATACCATTTGTGGAAAGCTGACTTGGAGTTAAGCTTGACATTTTCTTTTTGGAACACCATAATGGTTCAGTCCTGAAAAAAAAAAAAAAAAAAATTCTTAAAAAATTGTTCTTGAATCAAACAAGAATGCTTAACGGCTCAGTGCCAGAGTATTGGCGAAGTTCAACGAACTGACCGAATAATTCTGATTCGTCAGTAACATTCAAATAGACACTACATAGTTTTATATGGTATATTTTGTACATCTTACACATTTATAGCCTAGAGGAATTATATAAAATAACATCTTATAAACTTGACTGTAGAAAAACAACTTTGTCCAACATATTTTGCAGCTTTAAGGTTTTGAGGATTAATTTTTGCATTAAAAGTCTATAGCAATAATATTCGACAGTAAAACCTCTTTTAAGAGTCCTTGGAGGCTATCAGCTATCTTGGATAATTTAGCTGATGAAGAGTTCTTTACCATATCAAAATATTGTTTCAAACACCAGAGTGATTGTTACTTATATTGTTTTTTGTTTGAGTTAGAACATCTAGGCTCCAAGGACTCTTAACCGTACACCATTATATTGAACAATCATAAAAAAATTGAAATCAATTGGAAAATGAGCTTGTAGCAACAAGAACTGTGTGCCGTGGTATGAGTAACTGGTGTGACTTGGCAAACAGAATGTGGTGGAGTAGACGATATGGATCTCACACCGTAATAGAGATAGTTTGGAAAACAACTTTTGATTATTTTAAGAATAATATTTTGTGTTTACAGTTTTATATGTCTTCAAATACACTAATTCTTTAACACTTTCAATGCGGCTGCGCGATGGCCGACTGCTGCCGGTGGCACAAACATCTAACGTGCTGCGTAAACGAGTCTGCAAAAACCTTTAAATTTAGTTTCATCCAAATGAGAAACATATACTGCGTCCCAGTCGCTTTGGACATAGTTTTTTAACAAGAACCCAACAGTTAGCAGCCCTAAACAATACTGCTAGCCAGCCCCCAGTATTGTCAAATGGAGGGAAAAAGCAGGGGTGAATTGCCCGGATCCATCATCAAAAAATACCGCAAAAAAGGGGTCAAGCACAATTTTTGAGGCAAGGTTCCTTCCACAATGCTACATTAACGTTATTTTATTGCATGCCATTAGATCCCAGCCTAAAACCTACACTACAATAAATTTGTAACCGTCTCTACCACCAATAAAATAGTCGGATCAGAAAACGAACTATACCAGATTGAAGTATAACACTGGCACAATAAGCGGCAAGCAAAACAACGTCTCATGGCAGTGGCTAACCTTACTATGAAACAATGTTTGGAAATGGTGCTTGCCAAGTATACTCGTTGCACGCCACTGGAAAGCAAAAGAGGTGAAACATGTGCAGTGAGCATGTTAAATTATCATCACTGATTAATTGAAAAAATAATCTGAAATCGAAATGGCTTTGCACTCTTCATTTCATTTAATCCAAAGTTTCCCCTGCATTCAGAAACTTGGCTGTAAACAGTTTTTTTTACCTGTGAGACCCTAGAAGTTTCTTGTCATGAACCATCTCTTGAGGCTCCACATCTTTGCTAGTCAGCGATACACGGATTCTGGTTCGGAACAGCCAATTGAAAGAACCCTATGAATATAACATTTAAAAAAGTCACACAGAATAAAGAGCATGAGTAATATCTCGTCAATGCTCTAGATATAAAATTGGTGACATATTAAACATTATGACATGTACTAATTATTATTTGTTACATTAGCCTATTTCAGTTCATTAGGTAAAAAATAGTAAAATAAATATTGGCATTAGTTAAATTTAGAATTAGATACCCCACCATTGGCACAACAACTGTTTTTAACTCAAATCTTACAAATAACTCTACTATAAAAGTGAAAAATATTTAGTTATATCCAAAACTCCAAATCAAAAAGAGGAGAAAATAAATGAAAACAAAAGTCAAAATTTACCCAAACAACAGAGAAGTAAGGTACAGAGGGAAAATGCAATGCATGGTACACCAAAGTAGTGTCCCTAGCACTAGTCGCTGATATCTAGAGCAATGTTCAACACCGCCCTCTCGCCCTCATGTACTACAACATCCACGGTGAAGGATGACTATTGCCTTGTGCGATAGGAATATCCTCACAGTTCTCGCTGCTCAATCTTTTCCATACTAGCACACGATACTAGAACTCAAAGCACACGGTCGTCTCATTACAAGTTTCTTCTATGCCTTACTTCTCTGTGCCCAAACCAAATTAATCATCCAAATTTGAATGTGAATTAAGTTATTTATTTTTAGGTTGCATAACTAGTAACGAACCTGTTTGAGACGATTCAGAACTTCTTTTGACATCATACGAGTATTTTCTGTTGAGACAGAGGAACCTTCAGAATGGTTAGGATCGGAGTTGAAGCCAACGACAGGTTTGCGATTGTCTGTCACACGACTGGCAGCCAATAGAAAACGTCCCATCACCTCCCACAGGGAACACCACATCGGCCCAATCTATCCAAG